CCGTGCACTTGTGTGCGTGGAGCATTGTAGTGGTGCCAACCAGTGTTGGACACGTGTACGTGAGCAGTGCACTCTCCTATGCCGACAGCAGATTGATTTTCATGATTTTGCTTTATTCAATTCAATTTTCACGCTTTCCCTGTTCTCTGTTGTTCGTTGGCTAGTGAGTAATTTTCATACAGCTTGACCACTCAGGTCGGAAATTATTTATAGGCTTGGATCAGAGATGCATAGTTAACATTCAGCTTCAACTCAGGGATTTAGGCCTGAACTACACTTCAGTCATAGTTCTGCATATTACAAAGTGAGGTCAAAGCGGAATATCATACGAATATATTGTAATATACCCATTTACCTTCGAGAGAAAAGCCGTAAGATGTGGAACTTCTATAAGGCGTTTCTTGTAATGGCAGTAATGTAATATTTTAAAGTCCGCAATGGACTTAATGTACAGCCCTAGTCATAGGCAAAGACTCCTTATTACTGGATAAGGATGGGTTCTCAGGATATGAATGGGTTCTCTGCTGATCTGAGGGTTGTACGTTTGCTACAAATACGTAAACCAAAGATATATTTCCTGAAATATTACGTATATATTATATATGCATATGCTAGACGTGTTATCCGCATAACTAAGGGCCCTACTGGCCTATGCGTGTCCCCGTTGAGGGTCGTTTGGGTTAACCTATATGGTAGACCTGGTAAGAATCCAGCCTTGAAATATCCATATATATAACTAAAGCTTTCTATATCATTCATACCTTGGCTCTGAGGCGCATACTAATTATTCGACGCCAAAACTTGATCAGTTTCCAGACTTCAAAGAGCTGGCAGGTTATCATTAGAAGGAAGACCCCCGGTATAGAAATCATTAACTATTCGTTGGTATTGTTTGCAACCCTGGTATTACGTTGCATGGAATTTGTGACAATTTTTGAAATAAAAATAAAATAAAAAGCATTGCAATCATTACATTAGATGCCCCATCGATGCAAAACCAACTGGAAGATTGGTCTACACGAAGGATGCTGTCGTGGGGCAGCTGCACATGCACTTGCAACCGCACAACCAGCAGCGAGCAACCACTCAACCCTCCAGCCACCCACCCACCCACCAGATACGAACCAGAGCCAGCCGCACCGCATGTTGCCCGCCAGATAAAGATAATAGAAAACTTCAATTCTGCAGCCGAAACAAAAACAAAACACTTTTCAATCATGAAGAGGTCGTGAACGAAGATGAAAATGTACGGGCATGATGCCGAAAAACGGGGTGTGCGGTGGTCAGAGGTGCCCGGGGGAGCTCGGGGGCAGCCCGGGGAGCCCTGGAGCTACCAAATCATTTCCGCAACACTTGCTCATTCACGTTGCTGCCTCCGTCACCGCCTCCGCCACCGCCACCGCTGCTGCTGTTTCACTTCTGAGCAGCGGCAAAGTTAATGGGTGCAACGCGCGGGGGCACTGTTGGGGGCCACACATCGAACGCGGAATGCCCTAACTAATTTCAGGGATATCCATTAGGAATTCTATAAACTAAATTACATTTTGTGGAAAGTATTATACAGGGAAAATACTTAGGAGCTCGAGATCTGGCGACTGGAAGAGCTGGAGGAGAGGTCTTTATAGACATCGAAAGGTATGACAAAGTTATTCGATTCTTTGGAAGGGTATACCAATGTGTGTGTTCGTGTGTGTTTGTGTTTTGTGGGGGGTGTGCTTTGAGCTATGTGAAAAACATCTGCCAACGGATGTGTTTGGCCATATCCGCCCCAGCACCTAACCCACCCCCCCCCACCCGACTGGAGTGCGCAGATAAACCCTTGGAATGCCTTGGCCCAGGCACCGACCGTCTCGTTTAGCCCCAGGACGATCCGGCCCTGACTATTCATGCGTTTCAAATTTTCAATACACTCAAATGATAATCGAGACGATGCACAGAGTGGGACTGTGTAGACAAGAGAAAAACCGAGAAGGTGGTGGGGAGGGGGGCAAAGGATGATGAAAAGGCGCCGCATGTTACATGTTTAAAGCTTTTCCAAACAAGCTCCGGCCTGTCTTTCCTCTCTTTTCTTTTTTTTTTTGTTTGCGAGACGAGTATCTTCACGGCAGATTGAAGGGAATTGAATCCGGCCACAATGCCGCTGGCAACACCTGTTCTAATGGCTATCTAGACGGCAGGGCAACCCATTCACATACGGGGTGGCAGGGGATTACGGCAATTATGGACGGGGCTGGCTGACTGGCAGGCTTATTAAATGTGGAGAGAGATCAGAGCCGGCCCATGAATGGCGGGAAGGCCTGAAAATAATCGTATTGCCCATAATCAAACCAATAGGCAGGGAGTTCAAGCCTTATTACGGCTATTGAATGAATTCAATTCGATTTGTTATTGAGAAAACGTAAAATATCGAATGGAAAAATATCTAACCAATGGAAAATGGTATCTTGGATAAAAATAAGCACATATTTGAGTTACCGGGAATGTTTCCCAGATGAGATTAATCTCTAATCACGAATGGCACATCATATACATCCAATATCCTTAGATTTCAGGCTTCACACAGATTTTAATCGACAGATTCCTAAATGAATCCACAATATTCATCCAGTATTCACAGCAGTAATCTTCTCGCTCTCGTTCGGGAGTGAGCGAGAAAAGAAAACCGAAATTTTCGAATCTGTCATTGTAAAAATGACGACACCTGCTTCGTTCAGTGCCTCTTGGGCGTGTGTTACGATGTAATGAGAAAGCTGAGACGCTGATTCAAATTAATGGAACGAAGCGAATGCCGAATCCCACCGAATCGATCCACCCGAGAAGTAACCATCTGGAAATGAATGGCAGGGCACACACTCTCATGGGGAAATCCCATTGCAATGTCAATTAGAAGACGGCTTCCTGGCACTTTTCTGAAATAATTTCACTTCTTATACTCGTACTTGCATGTAAGTTCCATTGTTCCGGGGGGTGCCGACATCGTTCACCTTTCAAGAGCCTCCTCATGTGTGTGTGTGTGTGTGTGTGTGCGTAAACCCACACAAACACAAACACACGGTAAGCGGAAAACAAATTAAACAACTCTCATGTGGCAAGGGGATGGGCTGGAATGGGGCATGGGGCATGGGGCAGGAGGCAGGAGGCAAGAACGGAACTCACTCGTAAGCTGCTCCTTTTGTTCGTCACGTTGGCGTCGCGAAAGTGCCAAAGTTTTTCATTGTAATAAATATTTTAATTTTGAACTTGAGCAATTAACCCGGGCAACGCATGTGGAAGGAAAGGGCTCCGGCTCCGGCTACGGCTCCGGCTACGGTTGCGGCTCCCCCATCCCCCATCCTCCTGCCACCGCCACAGCCACCGCCTCCATTGTGTCCTGGCAATTGTAATCGGGACACGACACCCTTCTGGCTGGGAGCACTGCGAGTATCCAGCGTGACGCGCTCTCTCTCTCTCTCTCTATGAACATTATGAACTTAAGCTCTCCGGCAAACGACAAACAACAACAAGAACAATAACAATAAGAATCTGGGACACATGCCAAAGTGGTTAAGTCGGCGTAGAAATGTTTGGTAAAAGTTTTCGGGGCGACGCATTTAAATGATTTTGCATAATTCAATGGCCCCTCGGCGGTGGTGGGGGAAGGGAGTGAAGAACTTTCCAAAATCCATGAAGAAAAACAGGAGAACTTGGACCCGAGAACTCGGTAATATATTTTCTTTAATTGCGCACAATAAATCCTTTTTATGATGCTCCTCCCCAGGTGGATTGTCGAGTGCCCGCTCCCGCGCTCCCCATCCGCCCGGTGGGGTTCCGTCAACTGGAAATGTACACAAAAGGCTTAATTATAAAAGTCAACACACGGCGGAGAGCATCTCCTCCCGCTCCGCAAAGATGCTCAAGCCTTCGACTAGGGGTTAGGGACACTCTACCATATCATCCGCTGATGCACTCGCACTCGAATACACACACACACACACACACGCACACACAAAAAGAGCCAAAAAAAAAAACAACACACAGAGATGAAAAAAGCAAAGAAATTCGTATGCAATTAAAATGAAATCCCCTTTTTACGGCCGATGTGGATGGCAAAGATTTTTACGGTTATTTGTTTGAAGAAAAAAGAAAAAAAGGGGGAAAAAGAAGAAACAAAAAAAACGCAGACCAGACCTGCTGAAATTCAAATAGCGAACAAACCGGAAAATGTGATAATTTTTGTGACATACAGTGCGTTTCGGTAATGCGAAGACCATTGGGATAAAGGTTACATTAATGTTCAGCATTCCCTTTGCAGTGGGAGAGAGAAAACAAAAAACTATTTTCATAAGCAAGCAAAAAGAGAGCATCACTTCTTACTTTTCTCGCCATCGCACTCCAACGCACAGGTCACGTTCCATCTTCTTTTGCATGGAGAGAGGGAGAATAGAACAAGAATGCAAACTTCCTATACGCGAGCCATTAGAATGGAGAGCAGCCAGAGAGCATTGGAAGCATTGGAATTGGAACGTGCACTAAGCCACCGACGCATCTGTCACTCTCACTCTCACCCTCTCCCATATTCATATTTTCTTTCGGCCCAAGCGCGCGCTTTTAAGTCAGCTCCGCGTTTCGGTGCGTGAAAAGTCGGGAAATAGTGAAAAATCATACGGAAAAACTGTTGCCCTGCTGTCTAGAAGTGAATAAACACTTAATATGTCCCCAAAGTCCAATAAGAGCAAGAAAAAATCAGTGATAAAGTGTAAAATGCATGGAAAAGGGTAAAAACTGCGGAAATATGTGTGAGAGAAGTGAAGTGCAACAAGTGTGTGTTTTTTTGTTGATATTTTGCGTTAATTCATTTTTTTCATGTGCAAAATGTGGTCACGAGATCTTCTGCTGTGTGGTGGCGAGCAAAGGCGCAACGAAGAAGAGAAGAAAGTAGGAAAAAAAGCGAGCGCTCTCCATGCAAGTCGCTCAATAGTAGCAGCTGAGGTGTGTTCTCTCTCTCTCTCGTTTGGCTTGTGCATATATATGCATACAAAGTGCGTGCGAGGCTAGCCTCACCTAATATTTATACACTCCTAATTTTTGCTCTTATTGGCATTGCTCTCCCCTAAACGGTGTTCGTGTGTGTGTAGGCGGAGCTGACTTCGGTGTTAGGAAATTCTCGCGCGACAACAAAAAAAGATTCAGAATGAGGTAGAGAAATGCAGATGAAAAGGTTAGTTTTATTTATTTTTTATTTGCTAAATATTCACTTGTTCTTGGAATAAAATCACTCAAAAAGCAATATCAAATGCGAGTATCCTTAAATCTATAAAACGCACTGTACATGTGTGTATGCTAACGAGTGTGTATGAATTGTACAATTTTTCGTTGATTAAACAGAAAAGGGTTAGGCGAATGGCCGCAGACTGTTAATGAATGTTGGGTAAGAGCCCGACGAAACTTTTGGCTGCCATTAAAAACAAAAACGAAAGTAAGAAATGATATGAAAACTCTTCGAACAAAGTCCAAAGAACAAATGTCCCGTAATGTCCACCGATTCACATGGCCTGAGCTGGAGCAGGGAAAACCCTTCGCGCTTGGCCAATTGTGATGTTTTTGCGGGGCTGGAGGCGGAGTGGGGCAGGGCAGGGCAGGGCAGGGCAGTTCTATTTGCTACCGCTGCCCCATTGCCAGTTTTAATTATTGTCCGTTTTTATTGCAGTCCGCAGATAAAGTCCGACGACAGGGATATGTATCCAGTGGGGCGGGGTCCAGGGCCTGTCAGTGTCAACGCAGTCATCGTCACCCTGCCCCAGTCCCAGTCCCAGTCCCAGTGCATGCCCCACCGTCCCTGCCACAGCCACCGCCGCAGCCGCAGCTCGCGCAATCGCAGGCCAGCATCAGCTGGCGATTAACTTTTCAAATGGAACCCTTTTTCGCGCCGCTGTCGGCGATATGCTAATGATGACCATGCCACCGCGTCGCCCTTGCCCCTGCCTCTTACCTATGTATATCCATGGCCACACTGAGGGAAAGAAGCATCAACGTCTAGGATATTTCAAAATTTTGGGATGAAAATACAAATATTTTCTATAACATACAACCATTTACTATATTAATTCTTTTATGGAAAATATTCTGGAGTATATTTCTGATTGATTTGAATGGGGTTTTTTTGGCCAGTGCATTTGGCGGTGCCCGTGTCAGCCATTTGGTGCCCGCTGGCTCTGATGTACACTTTTTGTGTTTCATTATACTCCACATCCATTTCTGCTCCTCCTCATCCTCTTCCTTCTGCTGCTGCTGCTGCTGCCCCCGTTCCTGTCCTGTTCCTGTCCTGCTCCTGGTCTGTCCTGTTCTGGTCGGGTACGGCATGGCTTTGCTTTGCTTTTATTATTTTCAAGTTTAATTAACTTTTGTGTTGTTTTCAACGAGAGAGGAGCAGCGTACATAAATTTCGAGTGTTGCCTGTGGCTCTCTGGTGGCTTTTTTGGGGCGAGCAAAGGATGGATGGAAATTTGATACGATTCGGTTGCCTGGACAAGTCAAAAGTCTGCTCAGGACAGACGCAGAGGCAGCGGCAGCGGCAGAGACAGAGACAGAGCAGCGAGAGTCGAGAGTAGGGCCAGGCAGGGGGGGAGCAGCTGGCCGGAGGATGACGGAGCCGACAGCAGATATTCGAGGACAAACAGGCGTACAATCAGAGCCACTTGCTCCGTGCTGCCGTAGTCCACTCTGCCCTCGACATCGGTGACCTTGTGCCACACCTGGGTGGAGGACTCCTCCGCTGTCAGGTGCAGAACGGGCACCTGGCGCCTGAGGAATGGCACATGATCGTCCCGCGGATCGTCCCTGGCGATGAATTGGAAGTACGATCGCTGCGCTTTTAACAGTCCTGCTTTGGACAGCTTCTGCTCCAGTTGAACCAAACGCTGGAACCATCCGACCGTGCGGGGAATGTGGCTGAAGAAGGACATGTCCTTGGCCCCAACGCGGTCGAGCAGTACGAAAAGGTCTATGCCGTCCAGCAGGCCCCTCTCGTACATGAGGTCCGCCAGGTGACGGGAGCCGTAAAGCGATTCCTCGTCGGACCAACTCCCGATGGCCTCCGTTCCATCAAAGAACACGAACAGGAGGCCGATCTGGGCCTGCCGCAAGGCCCGCAGCTGCTTCTGCAGCACTCGGGCCATGTTCAACATCAGGGCACAGGAAACGGCCGCATCCGTGGCACCCACGTACTCTGATCGAGCCAAGTACTTGCTGTCGTAGTGGCAGCCCAGCATCAGGTACCGCCTGGCCTTGCAGCTCAGCTTGGCCACGATATTGTGGAACGTCACGGAACCCAGGATCGGCACTTGTCCGTTGAAAATGTCCAGATTCACGTGCCATCCCAGCGCCCTAAGGGAGTCGATGATGAAATCCCGCACGGCGGCATGTCCCGGAGTACCAACGACTCGCCTCACTGCCAGCCTGTGGACTGTTTGCCGCAAGTGCTCCGGGTCTGAGAGCTCCGCAAAGGTGCGCATCTGTTCGAGGGTTAGTAGGGCGGGCTCGTACCTCATCGTCCCGTTGCGGCCCACGATAAGAACTTCCTTAAAGGAATGGGCGCCTGTTAGAAGCAGCGCCAAGCAGATGGAGATCACATAGGTCTTGGCTACAGGCATATTGGTTCGCTAAAGTCTCTCCACGACTAAACACCTAAAGAAGGGCATTGAAAAATACTTTAGATAAACAGCATCTGATTTGAACTTCCTTTTTAGTGGTACTTGTTCAACATTTCCTGGGTGGTGACCCCGATCTTCGCTATAAAACTTGTAGAATCCGTCGGTTCTCTATTGAACAGCTTCTGAATCCACTTTACACTGATTTAATTCCAATTCTGTTGTGGGGCTAATGAATGTGGCCTTAGCCACGCCCTTCTTCGTAGATAAATCCATTTGAAACGCTTCAATCTCATGCCCCCCAATCGATTCCTCATGCTCGAGTAAACAGAAAAGAGAGAGAGAGGGAGAGAGAGAGAGGGAGAGAGCGAGAGAGACTTCAGGAAGAGATCAGGGCACATGATATAGTACCTGTTCGGTTTAGAGATCAACTGTTGGATAGGGCCTGTAATTACTCGGCCTCAAACGAGTCGGCGATGCTCACATTAATAACTGCAGGCAGAAACGGACGCGTTGGGCAGCAACAGGCAGCCAGGGGCGCGGGGTGGGGGGTGGCAGGGGCCGCAAGAGAATTACTAATGCTGCAAGGCATGTGCTCGACAAGTGCTTACGTAATTTCGCATGCTTATATAATAAATACCCAAACACCAACACCAGAAAGCGGCAAACAACATCTTTCCCATTTTGAAGTTCTGCCCCTGCCCCTTCGCCTGCTTTTGCCCCTTCTGTGTGCTGCTGTTGCCCCATTCTTGGGGCTTGTGCCTGTGCCATTGGGCTGCCAGTCTGTCTGACAATTATACCTTAATGTATTGTACTCAAAAGTTATACGCAATTACGATAGAACTTCATCTGGGCTCGGACTGGTTTCTGGGGCCGCCTGCGACTGTCCCAGCGATAAACAAATGAACACATAAGCCGAGCCAGACAGCTAGACAGTGGGACAGTGGGACTGTCGGACAGCCTCAGAGACAGTCAAACCTCACTCAAGTGTCTGCCAAAAGCCAAAAGAGAAACACAAAGCCCCACCAGAACCGGGCTGGCCGAAATGTATGTCCCCTACAATCGAAATGTTCCGAAATGCAATTTAAAGAACACACACACAAAACCCGTTTCGATTAATAACCAAAAAGAGAAGCTATACAAAATTATGGGAATTAATCTGAAATCTTTTGATGGACCCGTGGACCCGTGGACCTGTAGCCCTGCGGCTTCCACACACACATTTTGTTGTCTGTTGTTTTGCTCTTGAGATTTATGTCTGCAAAACAAACGTTCAAACCGATCTTGGCCCGGTTTCGATACTCTTTTCGAAACAGGGGTATCATGGGTGCCTAACAGCGATTGCAGTTCAGAGCGAATCAAAGAGAGGTACATATGTGGGAGAACCCTTAATGAAATGCCTATCCGATAGGGTATATATCTAGACTCTTTTGGCTTTTTTGGGTTGGCTTTTTGCTGTTGTTGTTGGCATTAGTTTCATTTTTGCAAGTGTCGGAGCTCGGTTTGGCTTATTTATTTATGCATTTCCCGTATTTTGGAATAAATTAGCTGTGGGGATGAGGGAGAGATCTTGAAGACCCAATCCGTTTAGCAGACAATATAAATATTCAGAGGTTTGTCTGGCGCCAAGTTTATTTATTTGTTCCATTTAGAATGGAATACTATACAAACGTATTTTGTATGTCACTAAATTATTGCATTTGATGGGGAATTTAATTTTTTTTTGGTTAACTCAAAGCCAAACCGATCCGATCTTTGGGAAAAGAGCTCTTGTTTTTTTTTTTTGGTTTTTTCCCCCAGAACCAGAACGAAATGCCGTCCGCCTCTCAATTGTATATGGCCCATGCCTTACCTTTGGTTCATCATCACCGCCCTCAGCACTCACTCGAAATTATCTCCGCCCCCCCCTGTCGACCATCGGCCATCGGCCATCACTCTGCCACCAGAAACAGAGGGAGAGCCAGAGATCTGCGGCCCGACCGAAAGCCGCATGCTGCGGATCGAATCCAAGACAGTCCAGGCCGGGACACGGACATGGACGGGGCTCTGCCACAAGATTGAGTCAAAGATATGGTAGACCAACACGCGTCCGTGGTTCGATTTGATTTCTGCATACCCTATCGCCGGGTATCTGTACTCCTTCAACGCGAATGAGTCTCCCCAGGGAAGCATCTTGCGGGGCATGTACTCTTCGGTGCTGTCCAGGCCACTACTCTGCCTTCTAGTCTTTCTCTTACTTTTTCTTAATTTCGAATCGCCTCGCCACGATCCGACGACGACGACGACGACAGCTCCAGGCTCTCGGCTCCGTCCACAGCAGGAGGAAGAGAATATACACAAGAAATGAGCGAGATTATACCTGTATATATGTATATGTACATATGTATATGTATGTATATATGGCGTGCATGTTTGTGTCTGTGTGGGTTCGAAGGTGCGGCTGTTGTTGTTTTTATGGTCGTTTGTTGTTGATACGAGCATTACTCGGATACACTTTTGGTGGGTATCACTCTTGGCATCAGATGGTTGCAACAGCGAGAGGCACTGCCACTCAACGGAGGATATATGGCACATAATCTGAGTGCAGTATTGGGCAAATATTGGGATCGCTTCATGCCGTGTCTTGTGCTGGAAAAATACCCTGAAAATCGAATAGTCATACCATAAAAAGAAAGTTTTTTCACTTAAATATGATACTAGTAAATCGCTGTATATGTATGATATTTCACATAAATACGTTTCATATTTGAATTAAATTATTTTCAAATTTAGTTTAAATATCCTATTAATTTAATATATTCTATTTAGTTTATACTTGAAATAAAAGGTGTACATAGGTGTTTAAAATACTTAAAATAAAAATAAATAAATACAATTAATGAAATGAATATACATATGTATAATAAATAATAAATTGAGTAAAATAATTAAAAATACCTTAAATAACTTAATACTTAAAACACTTCGAATAAAATATAATAAAATAAAAATAAATTAAATTAATAAATATTATGGCACCCCAAAGCAAACTATACGCGTAAAAATGAGCAAAAGCGAAGCTCAAACTTCTGCGTAGTGCACAAAAATATTCAAATAAACTTCAAATAAATAAATACCTTAAATAAGTGTTTAAAATACTTTAAAAAAATAAATCAATATAAATTAAATAAACAATTAAGTAAAATAATTTAAATTACTTTAGATAAATGTTTGCAGTATTTAATGTTTAATTGAAGTGTGTGTTTATGTTTCAGACTCTGCGAAGCTTGATTCAAACCAGATACATACATATGTACAGGTTCACATACATATATGTATACATTTGTATATGTATATCCTGCAAGGGTATCAAAGGCTTCGATCCTTCCTCTCTGTTGTACGAGTATTCTCTTATTTCGTTGCTTTCTGTGGTTTGCTTTTGGTCGAGGAGGGCTCGACCATGCTGCTGTTGTTGCTGGTGTAGTTTTCGTTTGGCATTGTTGTTGTTGTTGTAATGGCTACGGCCTGCGTTTTGATTGCAGTCGAACGTTGCTGTTGTTGTTGTTGTTGTTTTTGGTTTGCCTTTACTCTGTTGCCTTTTTCATGCCATTTAAGTCTTATTTATGGTTCTCGTTGATGATCGTGTTGATGGTCGTACTCTTTTTTGTTGTCGTTGTTGTTTCTTTGCTCGTTTGCGTTTTCTTCCAAAACCTTTTCGAGCTGCGGTACAGCCCGGCTGCGCGGGAGTTTCGACTTGATATGGGTCACCCCATGCCATTATCTATGGCGGAGCCTGATCGTGAGAAGAAGCGCGTCCTCATCCCCTAATATGATCCGCAGGGATCCCTCATGTCAGCAGGTACATACACCGAAGAGACAATTGTCTGACACACGGAGGGAGAGAAGATTGGGCTGATGACCCACTCTTTGCAGGTATTACGACAAGTCCTACCTTTAGTGGATATAATCTGTGGCCTTACAGGTGAAATACACACAATTGAAGAACGCAAGGCCTGGATAAAGTGCATTCGGGATGCCTCTGTGGCTGGTCGGTGCCCAGGCAGGCACTGCATTTAGCTCACGTTGATGCTTGATTTTTAACCTTCTCTCCGCTGCAGTCACCTCTCCAGTTCCCTACCTCCCTCCCTCCCTACCCCCCCTCCTGCCGCTGTCCATGGGCTCGCTTTTGCGGAGTTTATTTTCACCATTTGTTGTTGCTGGGTTTTCTCTTTTCGGTGCTCTGTGCATCGCGGGGCAAACGGGGCTCTGCCAGAGCCATACCCTTCCAGAGAGTCGGAGAGCCTTCTAACGATTTTGGTCAAAGGTATAGACCAGACCAGACTACGATCTGAATACCATGGATCCATGGATTGGTTTACAAAAAAAACTATTTTTAAATTAGACCAAATTTTGTTTATTCTCAAAACAAATTAAAAATCGGAATATACATGCTATAAATATTACAATTGTTAAAATATATAATCTTTTTTATATTTTGAAATTTTTTAATTATATTAAAATTGTATTCGTTTTATTTATTATTTACAATTTATACAACAATTACAAAAAATTAATTCTGATAAAATTTCAACGTATTTATGATGTATTTTAAACGTTAAAAATATCGAAATAACATATAATTTATCCGTTCCATATTATTCCAATTATATTCAAATTTTATTTGTATTATTTTTTATATATTATTTACAGTATTATGTATTTATTATGTATTTAGGGGAAGGTTAATATTGAACGTAGTAGCATCCCTCCCATAGAAACAATGGGTTCCGGCGGGTTATTTTTAGAAATTTCGAAATATTTAAATTTTTTATTTCAATTTAATTTTTATATATTTTATTATTTATTATTTACAATAAAAAATTTCAATGTATTTATGATGAATAGGTGAATATTAAATGTTACAAAATATGGAAATATATATAGCTTTCCATAGAAACAATGGGTTCCACAAGGGCTTTCTATATTTTGAAATATTTCAATTGTATTAAAATTAAAAAAAAATTAATTATAATTAAATTTTAATGTATTTAATAATATAATATAATATCGAACATTTACATCCCTTCCTCGGGAACAGGGGGCTCCGGCAAGGGTGTATCAGAGTTCGGTGCCCGGGACCCAGACCCGGTCTCTGTCTCCGTCTCTGTCTCTCTTGTTTCTGCAGTGCCTCCA